TTCCCGAACCAACATTATTCTCTTTTGTTTGGCTGGTGAAGCAAGACCAACCGGGTCATATAATGCAGCTATCTGGCTAAGAAGCATACGTCGTGTAAGGGGGTCTGGTGTTCCTTCCCTGACATCCTCCATGCTCAGGTTAACTCCAGTCCTCATTTTCCCTCTTTTCTTGGAGAAGTTGATAGACGTCTGCAACCGAAGTTTGTCAGTTTCAAGTTCGTAACCGACCCCGAGTGCTTTGTTCTCCCCATCATGAATCTGGTTAGGCAGTACCAAGGTCCTCGGTATAATGGCTTCAGTAGTGACTCCACCCCTCCCACTTTGGCATGATAGAACCCATGGTTTCAGGAAGAAGCCTCCCGCTTTTAACATCTTCTCTACCCCTTTGGTGATCTTTTCCAATGCCTCAGGATCATTGTGTGTGGTTAGAATATCGTCCACATAGCTGTCCTCAATCAGAGCCCGGCGTTCTTCCACCATATCAGCAAACTGAGGAAAGTTTGCAATTTCCCTCATTGCGACTTGGGCGATACATCCTGCGGGTTTATCACCGATATTCACTCTGACAACCGCAAACACCTCAATATCGTCTTTAGGATCGTCTCTCCAGAGGAATCGGTGGAGGTGAACTTCCTGATCTTTCAGCCACACTGAGTTATACATTTTCTTTACATCACACAGTGCGGCATGGCGTCCACTCCTGAACCTCAACCGGACTCCTCTGATGGGATTAAGTACATCGGGACCTTTGTGGAGAAGATCATTCAGACTTATACCTTGATACTCTTGGCTACTATTCCACACAATTCTCACTGGGGTTGAAGAGGAATGCGGATTCGGTGCAACCAGATGGCTGATATACCACTTAGGTCCTTCCCACTTCTTTATTTCCTCTTCCGTAAGTTTAGCAGCAGCCCCTCTTGAAACCATCTCATGTATTTGTTCTTTATATGCAGCTTTCCACATAGGTTCCTTCTCCAGACGCTTCTCAGTGTTTCTGAAGGTTGCCTCCACAGCCTGCCTATTGTCGGGCAGTGTCTTGAGGTCCGTCCTCCAGGGATAAGCCGCGTCCCAGTGAGGAGAATTGCTGTGTTTGTCTGCCAATACGTATGTTAGACATTCTTTTATCTTTTCCAGGTCTCGCTCCTCCTTGAGGGTCATCTATTTTCCTCCAGGAGGGCACCTACCACACTTGCAACCGCCACATTGAGGACTGCACGCAGCTCCAATGCTGTCCCACCTGAACCACTCGAAGACCTCATTGTTAGTGGTTTTGGTGCTTCGGATAAGCACATCTCCTTCCTCCTCTTGAGGTAAGATGGTTTCTTTGTACGCCATCGAGGCTGATCTCATGGTCCTTGCAAGGTGAGTCTCAGAGTGGTATACTGCCAGATCGATAGTCTCAATAAGATCAGGATGGGTTCCTCCAACAGTCTTTCCCAGCGGACCATCCCAGAGGACGAGGTCTCCTACTATTTTAATTGGCTGGGGAACAAGACGACCTTCCCGATGACTGATAAGGAGGTCAATCTTTGTGGGACGAACCAGTTCGTCTCTGGGTACATTGGGGAAGAACTTCTGTAGTTGTTTGGCAGTGACTGGTTGAGTCACCTCTGCGATGTCTTCCAGGCCATAGCAGATAATTCTATGCTCTGCCACTTCTCCCTTAGGTGTCTTCACTCTCAGCCGTAGGGAATATCTTTTTGTAAAGACCGTCTTCTTCATCCCCCCGACTCCATGGACTATAAGCTTGATCTTCTCACCGCACAGTCCAAGGCGATCGGCTGTCTCAATGGTGATATAATTGGTGTCAGATGCAAGGTCGATTAGAGAGCCAATAAGGCAACCTGAGTTTGTCGTTACTTCCATCAGCATCATCACCACTGGATGCTCTTGCAATCCATCTCCAGCCGTGGCAGATACGGTAGTTGATATTCTGTTTGAGAACACATTCTTGTATTTCTCTCTTTGTTCTGGAGTCAGCTCCGCCAGAAACTCTTCTTGCTTGTTGGTTAGGCCAAGTGTCTTTCCTCCAACTTTTATAACGCTCTGCTCCTCACTGCTGCTGTCCTTCTTTGGAACCGAAGGCTTAGGACACAAAAGGTAATTGTGGTCCGACACCCCTCCTTTCCGACAGTCTACTTTTGGGCAGAGGTATCTGGGTGTGCATCCTTTTCCATCCTTGGGGTGGTGCCGCAAACACTTGGAGCACAACCCTAGCTTCTTCACATGGACCCCTTTTCTTGCGAGATCTTCCTCTCTGAAGACCTTGCACGCAAATAGCTTGCCACCATGAGAATGATCTCCACAGACAGTACAACTGGGGTAACCGTCCCTCTGACCTGCTGTGGATTTAGTGAAAGCCTTCCTCCCTCTCTTCTCGAAGTAATCCGCAGCACCCTTCTCAACAGAGCCTCTATCTGTGGGGCTTGGCTCTAACTGGTCCAACTCCTCAAGAATCTCCTCCTGCCTCTTTAGGAATCCTAGGAGGCAATCAAAATGATCCAGTGGAGAGAATCTGTTTGCTGGGTTAGTTTTGTGCATAATCCACTCCTTCTTGAGTGAACTGGGAAGCTTGCTTTCAAGCGATTGAGCAACAACACGGTTCTTCACGGCGTCCTCTTCACCGAGAATCTGGAGGTTACACAGTGCCCTTTCCACAGCCTGGATCAATTCAATAGATCTTCTTGGATTGTTTCCTTTGACAGGGGGAAGAGACTGGACCTCATTAACGATCATAAGGACTATTTTCGCTCTGTTCCCGTATTTGCTGTCCAGCAACCTGAACATGTCGTCGGCGGTTCCACAGCGAGATAGCACAAGATCCTTCTTGACTTCTTCGTGGAGACTATTTAACAAGTGAAACTTTTTTATACATTCCACACCTTGTGGGTTACCCAATTCTTGTAGATCTTCCCACTCAATCTTCCAGCGATAATAGTCTCTCACGTCACCAGAGAAAGTGGGTAGCCGTACTTTTTCAAGGCTGATTTGAGGCTTGAGATTAGAGTTCCCTTTGGTCTTTTCCGGGCTGCTTTGCTGTAAGAGGGGTCGGGTGTTCATGCTCAATGCCCCCGTATACCTCTTGGGCTTCAGCTTGTGATCAGAAGACATGTCAGGAAGAGAGAGGAAAGAAGCATCTTGTATCGGATCCCCAGCCGCGCTGCTATCATCTCCCAGGTTTCTTTCTCTACCCTTTACTCGGTCTACTTCGTCCTCCTCCAGTTTGTCAGACAACGCCAGGACCCTCTTCTTAAGTGTCTTGTGGCGTGTCCTGAGATCTAACGCCTTCGGACCAGGAACCAACTCTTTCCACTCTACTAACATTTCTCAGAGTTCAACAACCTCTCTTTCAATAGCTCTATTCCTTAACCTGCGGTCCTTGATTGACTTCCGAGGGTTAACTTCCTCTTCCTCTGCCTGAGTGATGGCCATCTCAGCTGTTTTAACCTGTTTGAAAAACGCCTCCTCAGCGTAACTGGTCCAAAAAGTTTCCTGAGTGGCTACCTTTACCTCAAGGAACCGGTTTTCACACTCCGTTGTCTTCACATCAATTTGATCCGCCGATGCTTTCACCTCTTCATCCGTTGACTCCCTCAGGGCTTCAACATACTCATGTCCCGCGTCTATGACTTTAGAAAAATCCGTCCTGAAAATCTTCCATTCTTTGAGAACCTCAGTCGGTTCCAAAAGCCCCGGTTTGGTGAGAATATGAGCCCTCTTTGTGAACGAAGCCTGTGCTCTTGATCGCACACTTTTTAACTTTTCCAAGTCTGCCATAGTTACTCCTTTTGCGTTGACCAAAAAGCTATCACACCCAATGTGTATTTCCGCTCCTTTACTTTAATCAACAGGCAGTTTAATTAATGGAAAACTTGGGGTCCGTCAGAGAAAGTGAGAAGCCAGCTGTTTTGGGTTGATTGAAGCTTTCCTGGATTGATTGAACTTCCTTCATGAAGCACTGCACTCACTCCAGTGCAGTGAACCACGTTTTATAACTGTTCGGTTTTTCAAGAATTTCCCCACCGAACGGGGCGTCAGGAGAGAACACGTTTCATAACTCAATTGTGGTTTTGTTTACTTGGATTTATTATTTCCACATATAGTTGATTTGCCACCTATAGACATAAAAAGACAGTGTAAATGACAATATTAATAACACTTACATATCATACTATAAACATTAATTCTAATAAATATTTCGTCATAATATATCAACATTCTCAATAAATATTATAGTATAATTTAGCAATTAATCTAAATGACTATAAACATTAAGCACAGAAATGCAACAGCTTCACACAATACACCAATATTCAATTAAACCAATCGCTCTAAATCAAAGAGATATTCTCAGTGAATTGGCCCGACGTGAATCTAGTGAGTGTAGTTTATATAGTGGCGCTTTAGCATAGTAACTCATTATAAACGCAAGACAACAAACTACATTTCCCATCCGGCATCGCAAACCAGGAAGTAACTCATATGAAAGTGAAACGCTCCAAATCCAAACATTTCCTTAAGTTCTACCGCGAATACTATCAATACGACAACATTAAACATTGATTGCAAACGAGGTTCTCAGTGTTCGCACAGCAACATTTACCAACATTTATCTACACACAAACTGCGCGCATATGCCGCGGTTGTCAGTAGTTACACAAACAGACAGGCAAACTTTCCCCCGCATCTCAATAAGCGTTTCATTATTAAACAGCAGCTTACCGGTGGCGCGTCTCTCCCGACGAGACAACATGCAAACAAACTCTTGATTCTGCGTATATCTCAAGCTCATGATATCACACTGTTTTAAGATCTCACTGATTTGCGTTTCAATGCTTAACTAGTCCCTCCTTCAATCAGGAAGGTGAACCTCCCACCTATTAACCTGCGTTCTCTACCAAACACCCGTGCTGTAGTGAGCGCAACAGTTATTGGTACTTATTGTAGAATCTGAAATATTTATTGGTCACCTCTCATCATGCATATTATAATTTTAGGCAGAACTACCAGAAAGCATCTGGAAGGAGAGGACAGAGAGAACGCCAGAGATGAAGAACAAAGAGGTTGGTGTTTATTCTTGATTCCTCATTCATTCATCATGATGAAGAACATGCTGATGCTCACCACATTTATATTGTTAAAATGACTATTAAACTCATCAGTGATCTTGACTTTGAGCTTCACTTTTCATTTCACATTTGAAATTTCACTTGATTGAATGTTTCTTTTAGGCCTGATGGACGTGAACAAGAAAGGAAAAACAGAAGCATAAAAATCTGTCTCCTGCCCTCAGTGTAAAAAAACGCTTCACATGTAAAAATAGTCTGAAGATTCACATGAGAGTTCACACTGGGAAGAAGCGGCTCAGGCTTTCTCTCTGAAATCACATCTTCTTATTCTGAAGAAAGAGCATTTAACTGTGATCAGTGCGGGAAACAGTTTCATTGGGCTTCAGTCCTGAAGAAACACCAGAAGATTCAGATTCATTCATTATATTACAGCAGAAAAGACACGGCGGGGTGTGTTATGAGAGACATGAATCTGATGTTAATTTTTAACTCGTTCTTCATCAGAACATCTAGTTTCTCTTCCACTTCTACTCTTTCATGCAAACACAGGATATACTTGCATGTATCTTTGAAACTGGACACTTTTCTTCTCTTCTTCTCTTGAGATGATGTGGCTCTTATAAGTCAGTTATAAGAGCCAAAGCATCTCAAGAGAAGAAGAGAAGAAAAGTGTCCAGTTTCAAAGATACATGCAAGTATATCCTGTGTTTAAAGAGAGAGATCTGTCTCGTTCACTTTCACTTAATGTTTGTATTTGCTTAAAGTAATGATTGATTAAACTCTTTACTCCTTTTTATCAACACCTCATTGTTATTGTCCGTTTTTATTTTCTTTCTGATTTAGCTTGAATAATTTTAGTTCTGAACGTCATGAAGTATCCTGATATGATTGCTTTTTGAGATTTCCATGTTTTCATTTTCTCAACAGAGCTTTTAAATGCCTAATAAATTATATTTCACCCACACATGACTGACAATGAATGAAATTGCTGTTGCCTTGGATTTTGGCTTGCTTAGTTGGGGACATTTAACATTTAATATTCAATAATAATATTATTGATCTGCCTTACTTAAGGTGGACGTTGACGCAATTTATTTTAGAAACAAACTTTGTTATATTGTTATATTGTTTTTGTTATATTGTTTTCATGTTATCACTGTGAAGCGCTTTGATACAATCTGTATTGTAAAAAGCGCTATATAAATAAAGGTGACTTGACTTGACTTGACTGTCCGTCTACATTATTAACAGTTTCACCCTTGATATCCATTTCAAAGAGTTTGTTCTAGTCAGTTTGATGTTTCATTCACACCATGAGGCTTCATGAAGTCAGAACAATTACTATGAACTTTAAACAAGACTGTTTTTACTAAATAAACTGAAATTACTGTCTCTATCTCACCACAGCAGCTGGAATAAAGAGAAGTGGCGTGTAATCCTTGTTATTTGTATTGGTGTTTTGAAAAAAAAACATTTACTGCCGATGACGTCATCAATAGCAATGTTTTATCCATGTCATTATGCAGCTGACACTCGGACCCTGAAGTTAGGCACGTCATGACCTTCGCAGATCTGGGTTTCTGGGCGCCAACATGTCCAGAACAACAACTCAGTCAATCTCCAATAATGCCAGTGGTTCCTTAACCGGCAACCCAGAAGACTAACACGCACACCGACACACAGCTTTTCCAAGGTTGGATTTGGCCAGGCTCTAACTATAAACAGGAGAGTCCTCTCAAAACATCAAGATAATGTTCTTTCTCTCAAGGATAGCTAGATTTTAGTCTGACTGGAAAGTAAGGTTTTAACAAAGAGATGGTCCCTTAAACTATTGGCTTCAATGACCCCTATATGTTTTAACACGTTGAAGACCTTTCTCAAACACAAAACAAGTCCATATTTCATTTCTGGAAGCCGGGCTAAATGAGCAAGCACTGTTACTGCATTCAGATATCAAATACAGACATTAGAGAATACATGAACAGAACATTTCAGTAATCACACTGGTAACTTCTATAACAAAGTAAAATCTCACAAGCCTAGAGAACTCATTCAAGGTATTATTCAATATTTTTCCTTCTAAGTATTAAATGAGTTGATTATAATCACTCATCATTACATATACATTGAAGCAGCAGTGGACTCCAATCCACCCCCTTCAGCACACTGTTGTACAGAAGAGGCCGTAAAACCCTTTCTCATAGTTTGAGGTTACGCATTAATACCTATATATAATTATACCCTATATAGTCCACTCAATGTATCCCAGAATGCATTTTTAAAAGTAGTGTACAACCGATGGTCACTAACCTAAGCCCTACATACCATCATGCATTGCGCTGATCGTAAAAATGGCGGATGGACGTCAAGGAGAGCAGCGCGACAATACGAATTTGTCATATAAATGTAAGTTATGTTCTTTCTCGTTTAACTTATGATATGTAGTAGTTCTACAATTTTTTCAGACATGTATAAATTGTTTGTAAGCACGTATTGCCCCATTTCGGCACAAATCATGCCTAACGACCCAGCTTGCTAACATTAGCCCTCTACTGTACAGTAACGTTATTAACGAATGTGTCACGCCGCTAAACTAACATACATGTGCCGCAAGTTTTTTATTTGTAGGAGGCTAAATTTCACTGAAGTTGAACACAAATAAAAGCAAGAATGGATTGTCAATTTATTTTGATCTCGTCAGGGACCAACGTGTCACGGGGTGGTTCAGGGAAGGCCGAAGATGAAGGTATATATAAAACGTACTTTAATCCAAAGATCAGGAACAGGTGAGACAGCGTGTAAAACACAAACAATACCGGACACTGAACAGAAGACTTAAATACACAATGATGATGACATAAACGACAGGCAGCTGTGAGGAAGGTGATTAGTGTCCATGGAGACAGATTGGTGGCGGGAAACTCAGACAGGGGAACACACGTGGAAAATCAAAACAAACTGAAAGTCCAAAGAGCCTAATGGTGACACAACGATGATGTGGCCACATTTATTCGCCTGAGGAGAGAGAAGGACCACCTCTTCTCAGGGAAGCGTTTTGCCTCGGCAGCTGGATGGGAGTGAGTTGTGTCAAATTCTTGCGAAGGAGTATTTTGAGTATTCATATACGTGAAATTATACCTTTTATTATTTGACCACATTGCCATCACCGTTAATAATACTGACAGATTTGTTTGTTGTTTGTCAAAATGCATATTTCGTTTTGTATAGTGTGTGCAGAATTATTAGGCACGTTGATTTTCTGAACATATGTTATTCCCAGGCACATTTTGGGAATAAATGAATAAATGATTAAATACAACATTAATAGTAGTTTTTTAGATTAATATGGTTTGGAATTGCCAAAATGTGCCTGGGAATAAAATATGATCAGAAAATCAACGTGCCTAATAATTCTGCACACACTGTAGAGCTGTGTTGAAGGAGATGGGCCTTGTAGGCCTTTTGACTCCTGCCCGTGCTGCCAAGAAGTGGGAGAACTTAAAAAAGACGTACAAGGTTTGGATTATTGTATTTAACTCTGTATTTAACCACTCTAAGTCCTAGATAATGAAAAGACTAGTAAATGTGAATACTTCGTTTTGTGTTTAACAAACACGAGTTGTAGGCTACCAATATTATATTGCAATGTGTGCAGGAGCTCAGGAGTCCACCAACAGGGAGTGGCACTGAATCAGGGGAGGCCGCTGCTGGAACATGGAAGTGGTTCTCTCTCATGGAAGAGGCAATAGGTGGTAGGCAATCTATACAGCCTCCATGCCTCATTGCCTCAGCCTGGGGAGAGAACCCTTCCATGTCCACATCAGCATTCCCTGATTCAGTGCTATCTGAGCCAGAGACAAGAATTGATTAATACCAGACTAGCCTATATATTAATAAGTGGTTAGTACCCAACTATATATTGATTGATTAGTTACAGACTATATAACTGATTAATAACAGGCTATACATTTAATAATTGAACACTATTGGCAACTATTTACATGGAATAAACCTTTAACCAAATCCTATCCTAAATTGTAGTCATGGTCCTGAAGAGCTGGAGGAATAGCTGTTGGAGCTGAAAGAGCAGAAGCAATGCGCCCACGCAGCTGCTCCCCACACTGCTGGTCTTGCTGAAGCTGACCATCTCCGTCTTCTGGCCCCAGTGCTTCTTCCACAGGCTCGAGCATGACCTGGGCTACAGAGAAGCAGCACTGGACTTCTGCTTCTGCTTCTCACAAATTTTGCATGTCATTCGGAAATCAAGGTGCCAGAGTCTGGAGGAACACTGGGGAGAAGGAAATGCCAAAATGCCTGAAGTCCAGTGTCAAGTACCGACAGTCAGTGATGGTCTGGGGTGCCATGTCAGCTGCTGGTGTTGGTGCACTGTGTTTTATCAAGGGCAGGGTCAATGCAGCTAGCTATCAGGAGATTTTGGAGCACTTCATGCTTCCATCTGCTGAAAAGCTTTATGGAGATGAAGATTTCATTTTTCAGCACGACCTGGCACCTGCTCACAGTGCCAAAACCACTGGTAAATGGTTTACTGACCATGGTATTACTGTGCTCAATTGGCCTGCCAACTCTCCTGACCTGAACCCCATAGAGAATCTGTGGGATATTGTGAAGAGAAAGTTGAGAGACGCAAGACCCAACCCTCTGGATGAGCTTAAGGCCGCTATCGAAGCATCCTGGGCCTCCATAACACCTCAGCAGTGCCACAGGCTGATCGCCTCCATGCCACGCCGCATTGAAGCAGTCATTTCTGCAAAAGGATTCCCGACCAAGTATTGACTATTGAGTGCATAACTGAACATAATTATTTGAAGGTTGACTTTTTTTTTTGTATTTAAAACACTTCTTTTATTGGTCGGATGAAATATGCTAATTTTTTTAGATAGGAATTTTGAGTTTTCATGAGCTGTATGCCAAAATCATCAGTATTAAAACAATAAAAGACCTGAAATATTTCAGTTGGTGTGC